ATGCCAAAAAAATTAAGAAAAAAAATCTAGCAATGGCCTATTTAGATAATTTTTTCCAAAAGCACTTCTAAGATAAGAAAATACAAAGGAAAAATAAAATAAGCTTCACTAGAAGTTAAAATGTTAAAATTAACTTATGTACAAGTTAATTTGTAGAAGCTTTCTCATATTAGAATCTCTAAAATATGTTTTTAAACTTGTGTATCAGCTAATTTTAGCTCTTGGAGAAGCATAATTATTTTTTTCTTTTCTTTTCTTCTGCTAGAAGTGCTTTTGAAGAAGTTCATCTGATCAAACTCCAAACTTCATTTAGGAGTCCTTATCTTTAAAATGAGGCCAAGAATAAAAAGAAAATGTTATCAACAACAAAGTTGTTATAGACTAACTAATATATTAAATCAGAGGTCTCAGTTGTACTACAAAATAGCACACATTTACCCATATTCATTTCAAAGGTGTATCAACTAGCACTCTTACCTGTACATATATAAATACAATTACAACAATTTTTTGTTATCATCTCCCTAATCACTATTATGCAGTCTTCCTTAAAGAATATCACTTTGTTTAATCAATTATATTATTCAGTCAAACTTCTTTTTATTTCACACTTTCACATATCACTGTTTGTCCAAACTCCTTACTAGTTCCAACTGTTTTTCTAAATTGATAACCAAATCTCTTCCAGACATGACATGACAATATTTATTTGAACATTGCTTATATAATAACTTCAATTTTCATAATATCATAAATACATATGTAATGATGAATATCATAACAATCGCATATTTTCAGTCAATGACCAACTTTACAACCATAATATGAGATTGTTTCACAATTTATTTTACTAATGGAAAGAACATAATCAGACAACCATTTAAAGGACCTTTATTAATATAAAAGTAAAATTATATTTATAATATATCTTTAAAATTAACACATCAAATACTTTTTAATTATTATCATAACAATAAATATTATTCAAAGCATTTATTTTACCATCAAGTCAAAAAGAAAACTCTATAACCAATTCAACTTGACCTAATTTAAATTTATCAATATTCAGTGTGATTTAAATACAATTTTAAATAATTTTTTGATGAAAAAAATCTAGCAAAAGTGTACAGAACTAAATTATTTCAATTTCAAGCATTATAAAACCATTATTTGTAAATAAATATTACGCAATATTACCAAAAAGAGTTAGGCAGAAAAGGTGCCTATTAAAAACAAATAATATTGAAATTAATTACTCAATCAACTATTAACCAGTTGAGCATATGAAAACATTTCACAACATGACAGTTAAATTTAACTCAGAAGTTATAATAAATGAAGCTACATTTGCTTAAAAAATTGAAATACTTTCATAAAGAAACCAAATACATATGCCAACAAGGGTTTGTTATCTAATAACAATTAAAATTGAAACCCTTTAATTGAAAGGCTTAGATTTGATTTCCACTGCCAGCAATTCCTTTACTGAGTAATTTGGAAGTACCATGCTAAGCCCTCAGAAAGCCTTGGGGCATTCCACTCCAAGGGCAAGTGTTGACACTTTGTCAATATTTATTTTAAGTGGATCAAGTTGAAAAATGACAATTTAAATACTAGTGGATACTTCATCAATTCATAATTTAACATAGTATATAGTTTTTCAAATATAAATGTCAGCTATAATGTTACATACATATAAATGTTTAATTTATCTAAAATCTGGTATGCATTGTCATCAAGATAGTGTCACATGATTCAACTGCTAGGTTTAATAAATTCACATCGTATAAAAAAGTTATTAAGTGGAGTAACCAATTATATCTTCAAGACTTACTCTTGGAGTAAGTAGATCCTTTCCCCTATCTAATATAAGTTGTGCTTTTGCATTTTAAAGTAACATAGGTTAGAAAGATTTTAGTGTATCAGTATAGTTGACTTGGCGTATAAAAATAGGATATTTAGTTTATTTAGGTTTGGAAAATTAGATTTACTATTAAAAAGAATTCTGAACAAAACAAATAATGGATGTGCCATTCTGCCAATGCTTCACCCAAATTATAAAAAACTTGTTACCTTGTGAAAGATATGATAATAGATAATGTTTTTTTTTTTTTTGGGAAAAAATGGAAAGTAAAAAATTAAGATTTTAATGGCAAATTGCCTATTTAAAATTATTTTAAGTCAAACAAATAGGTAAAAGATTAAACCAATACACACCATTAAAATCCCTACTACACCTTGAATTACTAGTTCACACAAGTTAGATATAGACATGCAAAAAATGAAGAATCTCATCTTCATACTCCATTTGTCAATACCTTTGTTTTCCTCAATTTTAAGCAGTTTAAGCAGACCAGGCTCAGCATCCGTTTCAATTCACTAACATGACTAGGATGATATATTGGAACTGGTAGCTCAATGTATCCAAAGTGACCTGAAAAGTAAAATCAAATTACTTCATTTGAAATCTATCTTCTTTTACCATTTAAAAGACAGTACAGAAAAGAAGCAAATAACAAACCTTCACATTTTCCTACTTCAGAGGTACCACAAGATTCACATCTTCCAAATTCAAGGGGCAGTCCAAGGAATGGATTTGACAGCTGACTAGCATGACTGATTGAAGAGTCACTAATGGATGCTGTACACTATCAAGGCAAAGGCAAAAAATTTAAAAGTAGTCAAATATTGAATAGAGCATAATATCAATTTATATTCAATAGAATTGTAATTAAGTCTTACAAAGACAAGTTTTGACAAATAAATATAAAAAAATAAAAAAGAGGTGATTTTTCCACCAAGTATAATCAAAACACGACATGCACAAGCCAACAAGATCAGAATTAAAATAAAAATAAATAAACAAATAAATAAAACTATGACCATTAAGCAGACATAAGTAAATATATTCATATATAAATATATAGTAATATACATATAAATTGATTTCAAATATTCAACCCTCAAAAAGAATCAGACCATACTTCTGTAGCAACATGAATAAATTTCAATAAATATCAAAAGAAGTCCAAACAAGGTTCTTAAAGAACCCATCAAAAAACACTAATAAAACTCTAGAAACTGTTTCCCAAAATTGAAGCACAAATCCTTCATCCTTGGGGCTGCTATTGTAATAACAACATTGTCCAAACTTGATACAAGGCTATGAAGCACCAATACTTCAATTTGTTTCACATATCATTATCTAATACTCTCAGATACTTCATTGATATATATTGGTGAAGTATCCAATCTTTTAAAAAGAATTAGGATACTAAAAAAATTAATTCTTAATTTGGATTTGCAAAATTGTAATTTAGGGGATAATAAAAAACCAACCAAGTGCCATTGATCATAACAACATTGTCCAAACTTGATACAAGTATCTCATTTGAGTTAATTAATAAAAGAGATGCTGACTGAATATCACAAAGACCACAACTCTGGATCAGCATTAGTTATACAATTAATATAACTAAAAACAATTGTGTTTTGTGCTTACAATTTCCTGGCGCGTAGCCATACCAAATTTGATCCCGACAACAGTTCCATCTAAAAGGCTTGAGGGGGGATTATCCTCCATTATATTTGTGATCAATACAGTGCCTGCTGACAGATAACTCAAAGTTACAGTCATTATTTGTATACCTTGCAAAACTTCAACAGAATTACAGAGGAAAAGTAATTGAACCATCAATTGAACAGAAAATACTAGAAAGGTAACCCAGCAAAGAATGAATACATCAGGCATGTCCAAAAATAACTGACCACCATTAATCTCTGAAGGGTATACTAAAAATCACACAATGTTTAGAAAATTAGATCTTTCAAATAGCATTTTATCAAGAACCCAATCAAAGAGATGATGCTTCCATTCTTACTTGGAAGTACTATCACCATAAGAGCAGTCCCACATAAAAAAACATTTATGAAGTCAATCCTCAGCCAGTTACCACTGAGGCATTTGAAAAACAGAGAGATCACACTGATATGTGTGTCTAAACACAAATGCATATTTATAAATCTATACTAGAAAGTGTTAATTTAATTACTCACAACTTACAACCAGAACTACATCAGTAATTATGATTACTATCACCTAAAAAATTACTCCTTATTTATGGCATTAAATGACTTTACACACATAAAGTCACTAACCCAATTCTCCAGAGAACACAGTCAGCTAGAAACAACTCTACCAATACTCAAATCAAAAACAAGCAAGCATATAATAATCTAACCCAACTCCATAAACAACGTAAAAAATAAAGCTCCCACTAATTCCTCCAAAGCTACCTTTCAAATCCTGTTTCAACAAAAAAAAGGACAAAAGATCACTCCCATTCACTTCCATTTCATCGTGTAAGCTAAACACAAATTGAAAATTTGGTTGATCACAAGTTCAACGAAACAAAAACCAATGAATAAATAAAACAAGAGATAAAAACGAACAATGCATGAAAATTTCCCCCAACAATGAAGACCTTCTAAGAAACAGAGCAAGTCAAACTAAAATCGAACCACAATCACAACTAAAACAAACACAAGCAAGAATTAAAAATAAATAAATAAACAAATAACAAAATTCTTCTTCTTCAGCCTGTTTCTTACCTCAGAAGCGAATCAAACGGTGTTCAATTTCGCGTCTCGCACAGCAACGCAAAACCCTAAACCCTAGAAAACGCAAGGAACCAGCAAAAAAAAAAAAAAAAACTTAGTCATACAATCCGCATGGAAAACGCGAAAGAGAAGGAAATGCACTTGCATGAAACGAAAATGCAGAACAAGGGAACCAGAAAATCGAAGTACCTCGTACCCAATCTTTCCCTAAGGAAGCGCGTGAGAAGGTTTCAAAAGAGGAAGAAAGAAAACGAGAAACGAAACGAGAGAGTGAGGGAGAGAGTGAGAGAGTGAGTGAGAGTGAAATGAACAAGCAAGAAATGAAACGAATTTTATTTTTAACTTTTAGTTTTCAACACAAAAAAAAAAAAAAAAACAATTCGAGAATTTCATTTTATTTTTTTATTTTGTGTTTTGCACCGGGTGCAGAGTGTTGGAAACTGGGTTTTAATTGGAGCGGGGTTTTGGAGTGAAATGACCTTTATACCCTCGTTGACCGTCATGTCTAGCATTGGTCGGGAGTTGAATGAGGGGTGTGGTTGGAATTTCGTGTTGTTGGGTGGGTAGAAGTGAAAAGGCGAACACAAAATTTTGTGTTTTCTGGTCACGCTCAACTCAGACACTTTCTTCATAAATGAAATTAACTGTGGTTAAAGTTAAATCAACCGAGTTAAGTAGGGTGGTTAGTTACTGTTTGTTTACACAAAATAAATGCCTGTAGGATGGGATTAAATCTATTGGACCAGTATTACTAATGTGGTGGTGTGTTCCTAAGGAAAAAAAATTGTTCTAAAAACACTCATATAAGATTAGTAAAAATATAAATTCAATGAATTATTTATCAAATTTTTATTATATAAAATTTTGTGTTATTTTTTTCCGTAGAAAAAATTATGATGATAACAATAAAGCCAAATTTAAATTTATATATATATATATATATATATATATAACAGATCGTGTATTAATGAGAAATAATTATGTTTAATTTTAGTAAAAAATGAATATTAAATTTTATGAATTTTACATTTATTTCAAGTTTTTTTAACATATTAGAAACACCATCTTTCCTTAACTACACAAATTTATTGTTTGCCTTGGGCATCAATTTTTATAATTAATCAAAATTCATGTATTTTATAATTAACTAGTAATAATTCTTGCATATGTAATGGACTTGTTGTTAAGCCATTTTTATTAATTAACATTATTTTTGGAAGATTAATTAACATTTTTTATATGTATGTTAAATTATTTTTTATTTTAAAAATTATGTTAAAAATAAATATAGGAGTGTTATTTATTTTCTATTATTTTTAGTAAAAATTATAGAGATATTAGTGCTTTATTTGTAAAAACTTGATTATCATTTATTTTTCTTTTAACTGTCTTTTCATTTTATACTGATGTAATGTAATAGATCATGTGAGACCCTACCTTTCTTTTCCATTTCACCCTCACTCTCTCTTACTCACTTCACTCTCTAACTCCCATCTCTATCCTCACTCACTCAAACTCCCTTCTTCCCTCAAAAATCTTCATTTTTGGCTGATCATTCCCTTTTGCTTGGAATTCAAGGTGCTGGTACCTAGTGTTGAGTGGAGCTGAGCTGTGTTGAGTTCTTCTCAAGCTTTTTCTTCTTCTCTTCATTCTCTTCTTCCCGGAGCTCGGAGCCGTTGAACCGAGGTAAGGGAAGCTAGTTATGTTGCTGTATTGGGTTGAGAATGAGTCTTAGAAACTCATTAGCTGGCTGTTGATGAGTGATTTGAGCTGAAAATTCGCTGAAATGATGATTTGGGGTTTTCGGGTTTTCGGGTCTTTGAGAAAATTTGAGAAATTCTTGATTTGTTGTTGCATGCTGGAAATGTGGCGTTTTTATTGATATTTGATGGAAGAGAGAACTTTTGGATGGTTTGCATGTTGATTTTCTGGCTGTTTTTGCAGAATTTGGTTAAGTTTTTCGAAAATGGAGTGTTGCTGCTGAGCCTCGCGCTAAGCGCGGTTCTTCGCACCGGGCGCGAGACCACCTGGGGACTCCTTTTTTACAAGCCCGCCGCGCGCAAAGATGTGTGCGCCGGGCGAGCTTGAGAAGGTGAGTCTCTGGTTGGCCCACGTCGGGCGGGTCAGGGATCGCACCGAGCGCGCACGCAGTGTGTGACTTGTTTTTGGGTAGTGATTCTGCGCTGAGCGCGACCCTTGTTGCGCTGGGTGCGAGACTCCTTGGGAGTCTCTGCCAGGAGGGCGCTAGGCGCAATTCAAATTGCGCTGGGCGCGAGATCAAAGGGAGGTCTTTACCTTTCCCGCGCTGGGCGCGGGCCTAGGCACGCTGGGCGCGTGAGACTCCATGGAGTCTCTGCCTGGTAAGCGTTGGGCGCAATTTAGAATTGCGCCAGGCGCGTGAGGGGGCCACGCCGGGCACGAGCCGTCTTGCGCTGGGCGCGATGGCCCCTAATGCTCTCTGGTTGAGCTGCGCTGGGCGCGACCATGGGTGCGTCGGACGCGTATGATGAATGTTATCTTATGTTAGACTAAGCTGAAATTGATGAATAGGCTGTGCTGGTTAAATGTGAATGCTGAAAAATGATGGTAAGTTGAAATAGATGTAATTGTTGTGCTGAGCTGGGCTATTATTAATGATTTAAATGCTGAATTATAATATTGATGTGCTCTAGCTGAGTTATGAGTAGTAGGCTGTGTGGAATGACATTTAGTTGTGTTGTATGCTGTGTATGGCCACTATGGTGGTGTTGTTCTAGCCGCTATGTCGGTGCTGTTTTAGCCACTTAAGTGGTGCTGTTATTGCTGCTAAGCAGTGCTGATATTGCCGCATTGCGGTGCTGATATTGTTGAATGCTGTGAGTGGTATAAGCTGTACTGGTGTGCTGATAGCTGTAGTTGTTTTCTATCATATTGCTATATATATGTATGTTGATTTTATTTACACTTGCTTACCCTTTGTTGTCTCCATGATGTTTGGACTGCGATGATCATACTATGTATGGGAGCAGAGCAGGGATAGATGGGTGACTAGTGGTGAGTCTTCAGCGGACCGGCGGAGCTGATCTCTTTTGTGATTGTTTTGTTGTTGAGCTACTTGGGGTAGTAGCACTTGATTGTATTTTTGTACACTTTAACTCTGTTCAGATTGGATCATGTATATGTATATATTCTAGACCCTATATGTATACACTTGTTCTTTTCTATGCGGTGTTTCTAGTGTGTTGTGCCGCGTGTAGTGACTAGCCGGGTCATTACAGATCATGCCTTGTACGGGATGTTGAGTTCATCTATTAATTACATTATTTTTTTTAATTAAATTTAAATTTTATGTAAGTATATATCAATGGATATATATCTATAAATAGGAATATGTAAAAATAATAATAATAATAATAATAATAATAATAATAATATAAATATTTATATAACTTCAATTAACATTATATTAGTATTCTAATTTTTGTGTTTTATGTACCAAATATTATTATATAGATAATTATAATTTATAATAAATTATATATACAAATAAATATGTTATTTGAATATATAAATTATATTTAAAAATTTTATAAATATTTTAAGCATATAAATTATATTTTAGTTTATAATAAATAATTTATATTGTAACATAAATTACTTTTACTTATTGGGAACTAGTATTTTAGCATGTACAATATATAAGTTAAATATAACTAAAACTTAAAATTAAATTATGTATATAGATAAATATTTTGTTTGAATATATAAATTATATTTAAAATTTGAATAAATACATATTTTAAATAAATGAATTAAATTTTAAGTTTATGATAAATAGTTTATATTGTAGTATAATTTATTTTAAAATAATAAATCTTAATTCATAAATAGTTATGATAAATGAAATCAAATTCAATATGAAGTTAAAAGAATCTATAAAAAAAATTCATCCAATCGCTTAAAAATGTTATTACAAAAGATAGTCATTCATGTTTCATATATAGAGGTTGATAATTTATAACCAAATTAGATATGAAGTTAAAATAATTTTAAAAAACTTCTCCCTAAAAACACTATCACACAAGATAGTTGTTCATAAATTAGATAAACAGTTAAAAAAAATTCCTATAATTTAGAAACCCTCTCATCAAAGAAAAACCCTTTAAAACAGTTCACACAAAATAATGAAATTAAATTAATATTTTAACATGTATAAAAAAAATCCCAATAATGTAATAATTAAATTAAAATTTTTTAATATATAGATTATGCAATTTAAAAAAAATTCAAAAGTTTTTAATACTTCATTTCATAAATTCAAATAGAAGAATAATTATAAAAGCATTTTATACATTAATTTGAATTTATATAAAGGGGTATCAAATAATTTCCAAAATTTTAAAAGTTTACAATCTTTGATCTATACATTAAGGCCTTTTAATATTGTGACACTCATCTACCCTTAAGAATGATACTATATAAGGATATAAATAATTCATAAATCTCAATTCATTCTCATTAAAGTCATAAATAAAGCAACTCAATTCAACTGAAAAATAAATAAGTAATAGTAATCAAATTACAACTTGAATGTACTAAACTAAAACAAGAGATAACATAATTCTTAAATTACTCCAAAGCCTCAATGTCACATTGGCATCAAAGCTACCACATGCATCTAGATCTCTCCCTGCTTCTCCAAAGACTAAGGATTTTCTTCTGTAAAACATACAAAAATATACCAACAACAAGCAAAGAGTGAGAACAAATATAATCACAATAACTAATACATCAATTTCAATTGTGAACACCATTGATTACACACACAAACACATACACGGTAATGCAATATGGTGTGTGCCTACATCTAACACTACAAGAAAAATGCAAATTTTTTACAAACATAATCCATCAGTAAAAAGGAATATCCATCGAAAAAAAAAGAAATTTTGACAGATTTCCGATGGATGCAAATCCATTGAAAAAAATGGCATTGGAAAAAAAATCTTTCTGAAACAAATTAATCCGTCGAAAATTTCTAATGGATGATTCTGGGGTAAATATCCATCAGAAATTACCAAAAA